TCTTGAGCGCAGTTGCTGCAGCGTGGCTTGATGTTGCAGTTGCGGGTACCGTGTCCAAAATTGAGGCACCTCTGACACTGCGTTACGTCACGATGACCGCCACGGTATGGCTCCCACCGTACGATGATGGAGTAGATCGATCGGATGGCTTGTAGCGCATTGAGCGTCACCGTCCCTTTCTGGAAGTGCACCAGGAAAAGACAATCCGGGTACGTCTTCACGTTTTCATCTCTCCTTGTCATTCGGAAGACAGCGATTGGGGCTAGCTTGTACCGGTTGATTTCGTCTTCGACCATCTTGGGGTCGAAGTTTGGTAGACCCCTGATGACTACCTTGAAGGGCTTCTCACCGGGGATGTCGTGCGTGAAGAATTCCGCCTTGGTATCCTTCAGATATTTCACGGCCACTTCGTACTCCGCTTTGGTTCGGAGCATCACCTTGGTGCCGATCCTGCCGAGCTTAAACTCAGCTGCAACGCCCAGCGATGAAAGATCGCCAATCAGCGTGTTGAGTGGGACTTGCTTCACCACCAGTGGAGGAAGCTTCATTTTTGCTGCACTCGGGCTGGCAGCAGTTTCGTTGTCGACGGCATCGCCGAAATCACCAATGACGCTGACGTTCGTCGCGGTGGCATCGTCCCGTCCACTCGCACCATCGGACTGGCCTTGATTTTTCTTCCTCTTCTTAGACCGCTTCACCGTGGCTGAGGTGGGATTCCCTACATCGGTGGGAAGAGTAGCGTACCTATTCGAAATAGGTACACTCAAGCTACCCTCACCGCTGTTTTTCTTCTCCGTTTTCTCTCGGAGCCTGCTCCGGGAGCGCTGTCTTCCCATCACACGAAGCGACCGACACTACTGACGACGCGATTAAACTGCGAATGTTTGGAACAAACTAGAAACTTTAGAACAACTCGACAGAGCGAGCAAAGACCGAACTGTACTGCTTGACGTTCAAGCAGAGAATCAGCCACACTTCAAAACATGTCTGGTACCTCTATATATGCATTTGCTATAACATTAGAAGTCCCTTCTTTTTTACATATTCTGCGCAAAAGATACTTTATACCCCGCCCCATACATAAAAATTCGGCGGGAAATTCTGTGAGGGGTGAGCTATTTTGTGTGCAGAATGTGTAAAAAAGGAGGGACTTCGAATAATAATCTAAATGCATATATAGAGGTACCAGACATGTTTTGCACTGCAGTATCCTCTGAGAACAATTATAGGAAAACAGATTGTGTCTAGTTTCCGATAGATGTCACCGCAAACAACAGCTGTGACATCTGATGGAACATGAATGCAGAAGCTTGACAAAATGATCAATTGAATATGCCTAAATGAATTAGTTGCAATGATAATGAGAGTATAATATACTAATGAAATAAAATCAATATTTATCTGATAATAATGATCGAAATTGGTGAACAGTAAGGGAAGTTGTTAGTTGATTTCACCATCACAGAGTTTGACAATAGCGCGATGCTATATTATTATGATGCTGATTAGACGAGTCCTTGTCGTTGCTGTACTTAAACTTGCTTCAGTAATTAGCCACCTCTTGCCAATGATCTGCCGATCGATCACTGCCTTCTACATCGTGCTTTGCGCTGGATTTCCATGTGAAGTATGGTCTTCCAATTTTCTTCTTTATTTCTTCTCTTCCATACTAAAGGGCTTTCCTGATAATCTGTTATGATGGTTCTGTTTTTATGAAAATAAAATGATGCTCTATCCCTCTATCATGGCTATATGTTGATCCAGCGTGCAGATAGTTAATATCGTTGTCTTCTTCAAAACTTGATCACCTTGATCTAAGAAAAGAAAATCGCCACTCAATCAAGCCAAATTCAAAGGTAGCACCTGTGTGATGTCGCATTCCAAAAGTTTTGAACCAAATAAAAAAAAAATATTTGGCAGCCATTAGACTCAATTATTTAGAAAAAAGAAAAAAACAATTCATAATTAAAATCATAATTCTAAACTATACAATTATTTAATTTTTGGCTAGTTGTTATATTCCAACAAACTTTTGGTCCGCTACATCACAACTGGCATCACTAGGTTGCATCTATTTTTTTTATAATATCTTCATGTTTGATTGTCAGTTATATTAAAGTTACATACATTCTACAAAAATTCTAAAGTTTTCGACGCCTACATTTGCAAAATTTGTATTAACTAAATAAAGGAACATTTTGCCTAACTGTTTAATCAAAGATTGTTTTGTTGCTCTTGTAAATGTTGAGAAGACTGGATACATAAACTTTTCTGGTACCATGCGACGAAGTCTAGGGTCTAGATGAGCTAATAAAGACTTCTGATAGAACCAGACATTACGACTCCTTGTGCACTTGAAGATGCGATGAACGATAGTGTCAGTTTTTCCTGGACATAATCGGTCGACTGTTGGATTTTGGCGATGAAGAAGCTGGTTGTGGGGAATCCTCTCATGTGTCATGAGATACCACGCTGACCGTTGCTCAGCTGGAAGCAGGCTAGAGTGAATGTTTTTAAAGACCGCTTTCCAATTTATCTGCGAGTCGATGAAGGTCGGTGGATCCGGAAGCAGCGAAAGGTAATGTTGGTACAAACCACTCGCCGTCAGGTTCTCCAAAAGATTGAAGGAGAGATATGATATTTCCTGCAATGCCAACCTAGCGTGCTGAAATTCTGCAGGTATACTTGGGACGTTCGGTGGATTACCAGATCCTTCCAGAAAATCGGCTAGCAATGTAAGTTGATCCAATGACTTCACCAATCGATTCAATAGAAGAGGTTTTTGGGAAGCGTAAGATTTTGAAAGGAGATCTTGAACTGTTGAGGGTGCCCCATCCACAGGAACTTTCTCAGCTCAGTTATAATGCGAGCTTAGTAGTTTTTTTGGCAAGTACACGATAGAGGCCACGTACCACATTTTTGAGCACATATACGTGTTTAGTAGTATCACTCTTAGAGTGAGTGGCAAGTTTCTGGGACTTTGTTCCCAAATCCGCTGTTTCATACCCGATAAGATCGAATTCCAGTTGGGATCTCTGGTAGTTCGGGTATTCTCGCAGTAAAAGATACCTAGGATCTTGACGTGGTTCTCAATTGACAGCCACTCGGTAGCTTCAGTTAAGTCGATGTTGCCTATCATTAAACCCACAGTTTTGCTTCGGTTAAGAATTGCTCCTGCTTCTTCACCAAAGTTTGTGAACAGCTCAGAGACTTGCACTAACATTCCTTAGTTTAAGCATTAATTATCACACCAGGAAAAGCTCGCCTTAATACATCCAAGAGAGGTTGCATATACAGCACAAAAAGTAACATTGACAAGGGATCTCCTTGACGGACCGAACGCTGGATGTGGATTTCGGGAGCTAGATGGCCATTCACTAATATCCTCGAAAAAGAATTCTCCATGAACTTTTTGATGAGTTGATGAGTTCTACTAGTGGCGGGTTGAAATTCATTCTTAACATTGTTTGCTGAAGAAATGAATGATCAACGCGATCAAACGCGTGGTCCAGATCACAGGAAACTAGCAGCGCGTTCTGATGCTTCAATTCACATATCCTATCCCAGATTTTTGTGGTCACTTCGAAGATAGTTTTGGAGCCATTCGAACACTTCTGATAGTTCTGATCAGCGGATAGCACCAGTGGAACGAGTTTTTCCATGCGCTGCTTCAGGATACGCGAGACGGTTTTGAAGTCAAACGACGAAAGGCGGACATATCTTTTTTGTTACCCCTTTTCCGTACAAGAACTAATATACCTTCAAGAAAGTTTTTGGGAGCGTTACCTGACAAGGCGTCGTTTATGACAAGTGTGAATTTTCTCGAAATTATCCTCCAGCATTTCAGGTAAAATTCCTTGGGTAAGCCGTCAATGCCCGGGGATTTTTTTGAGCAGCTCGATTTAATTGCAGCGAAGACCTCCTCCTCCTCAGCATTTCTCATGATCGATATGTTTTCCTCGATATCATTTGGGATACTTCTAGTCGGCAAGAACCTCGCAGTATTAGAGGTTTCACCAGCAGCATACAGTAACTACTTTGATTGAAGAAACGGGAGACTTCAGCATGAATTTCATTTATATCCATATGGTAACCATGGTAACCATGGTAACGTTACCATCTCGAAGTTCGAGCAAGTTGATGCTTGTCCGTGCTTTGCGTGTTGACCGCTCGTTTAGATGAAACAGGCCTGTTTGCTCACCACCTATATATGATGAATTGTTCCTTCGGAGCTTTGTTGAGAAATTTCGCTGTAGTTGAAGCATTTGTCCTTTGATGCGATTGATGTTATAACGTTCATGCGGATTTCCAGGAAGTCGATTAACCACGTGCGAAAGCTGAGCTTGATAAATTTCCATGGTTCCACGGAAATCATTGAAGAGAAGCGATGTTTTCCATTTAAGGAAGGAAATCAGTTTCGGCTTACAAAAAGTAATCCACCAATCCATCCATGTTGCATAATGCCTTCTGTTTCGGACCCAGTGTATCCATTTTCGTTCAAGTTCGGGGAATGCTTCAGGTTCGTCCAAAACTTTCGTAGAAAGACTCCACACACCTCTACCAGCTGATGTGCCAAGGTCCGGTAAAACTATCCGTACGATGTAAGCCTTGTGATCGGTGAAAGCAGTAGTGCAGAAGTAAGCATTCCTTAGCCATCCCCGCACGGTTGCGCCTACCAGAATCCTATCCAATCGTGACGCAGTAATGAATATTCTATTCGAGTTCCATTCAGATTTGTCCACGTATCGGTGAGTTTCATTGAAGTCATCAATCGTTTCAACGTTGGACTGTGGTTACCGGAGCCGATTGCATCCCTTTCGTATCTTTAAAAATGTAAAGATACAGACAAGCTCTGGGACCTGGTTGCAGTTAAGCAATCCTCAAGGTTATGCCAATACCCAGGGAATTATGGCGGTTTACAATATTTAAATACTGTTCAAACCTTAAGAACTTTATTAGTGTCACTGAGGGCTCTAAAATTTTATTTCTTTTTATTCCAGCTTCGGCATCACTTTGCAATCGACCGCTGACGTGGAGCCTCGTTCCAACGCCCCACTGCACGTTGCTGTTCGACTGGTGAATGAGACCATCACCCGTAATGACTGGTGTAGTGTACAAGGTTGGAAACAGGAGGAAAACGACGGTGGTTGCCCGATTACGGCGGGGTCCTTCTTCGAAATCCAGATTACGGTCAACCGAGACAGCTATGGCATAACGGTCAATGGGCGTCACTTCAGTGATTTCGCTCACCGACAACCCTTCGATATGGTGCGGTTCATTCACCTCACCGAAGGTGCCCAAGTGTTTGCCGTTGTGATGGAGTAGGGGCACATTTCGAATACTGTTTAGCAACAGGGATGTGTCATCGGAAATAAATGGCCAATTTTAAAGTTCGTCTATAAAACTGTTTTCAGTTTGATTATTTTTTCCCTATAATAATTGTTTGTTTGCATCTTTTAAGTGTTAAAGTCTCACTGTTACGCTACAGAAAAAAAGTTTCGTAATTTTATACTTGTATGTGTGTTAGTGTGGATGTGTGTGTGTGTTCGTGTCTTTGATTCGCTTATTTTGTTGATTTGTAACGGCGACTTCTATCGCAATTGAATTTGTCCTGGTGCCTCTAACCAGTGCTAAAACTGTTGCAATGCAAGATGTATGTTTTAACTGTTATTTGCTTTATTATCATCTTTTTTCCTTGCGTGATATGGCACTTTTCGATTTTTTTTTTTATAAAAAAAAACAAAACCCTACTGGATTTAAATCAGTTAACCTGCACGTGGTAATGACTTGAGTAAAAGTTTGTTTTTTTTTCTGTTGAAAAGTAATTGTGTCTACATCTGAATTCTTTTTTATTTCACTATTACGGATTTCGTAACGCGTTAACAATGTAAGACGATAAAAATTGGCTGTAACTCTAAAGGCAAAATTTAGAAAAAAAAAATCTTTGTTTATTGGAGTCATTGGAATTCTTACAAACTGCGGTAGATTCGAGATTGTTAAGTATCATTTGTTTTTTTTTGGTTTTGGAATCGAGTACTGTAAACAGCATGATGATTTGTGCGATATTGTCATTGGATAATACTATGTAATTGGTTATTAGGTTTATCATCTATTGTTTTTGTTTAACGGGAATTAACAAATTAAAATGGACATTATTTTGTCTTGCTGAAGCTATTGTTGAATTTACAGGATGTATTCAAGAAGTGTAATTGAGTTTTTGTTTTGTTTTGTTTTTCTGTTCTAAAACAGTTTTCTATGTCTAGGAAAATAAATAGGTGACACCTTTAGAAGGTAAATTGCTAGTATGATTGAAAAAAATCCAGATTGGCAGTCAGATTCGTACTGACACGAAAAACTCTTAACTGAAGGGAATCGACCTTCTACTCAGAAACAAACAAGAACTTAATCAGGAACAAGGAATGAACACTGAAAGTCAGAAATTAACAAGAACTGAACGAATTCTAAAAAAATGTTATTCTTTAAAATAATCTAGACTGATAGTATCGTGAAAATTTCTCTTTTAGCAATAAAACATGCTTTCACAACGTTCTGGTGGAAAATTCCATTGATTGTTTTCAAAGATGGCTACTAATATGGCCGCTTTTTCACTCGTGTTTCAAAGAAAAATAAATATCTTCTATTAAGAAATCATTTCAATGCCGTGATTAACAAAAAAACTTGTTAAAACCCAGAATCCTATCGATATAATCATGATTTTTTATCCAGCACATAGGATTAGGCAAAAAACTCAAAGTTCTCAAGTCTCAGAATCATATTTAGTTAAGTTCGGGACCTTCTGAAATCCGAAAATCAGAATGAACCAATTTCAAAATTTTCACAGGTCCTAGATTTGCGATCACTTTTTTTTTCATAAACCCGACACTCATCCGACAGGTAGGTAAATGCTCATAAACTAACTTGGCGAAGACATTAGGTACGATTTACTCAATCCGTCCTTCAAAACCCGCGGTTCAGTGTCCAAAACATCGTTTGGGTTAAATGGTCTATTTTTTCGTCATGTTGGTTCGTTGAACATTTTTCTCAAGTGCATGATAAAATTACACGTTCCATCGGGTATAGACCTCGGTTCACTACCCAAGTCTGGCTTAAAATGGTTGAAACCAAATGTTTTGTTCGTCGTATTTTGACCCTAATTAGTGTTCGTATTTTTTTTTTCTTCATCAGCAGGACGGAACCAAAAGTTTTTGTTTTGTGCCCCAATTAGAACTATTTATAGCGATAGTAGATACGCACATTACTAACTGCACATCAGTTTGCCCATTATCTGGCCTAACAGCTCCGAGATTCGTGTTCAAAACACAGTTTTTAATCCTTCTATTGTTTGATAAAACAAACCTAACCGTTGCATCTTAGAATGGTTTAACTATTGAATAAATATCGATTGACGCGCGTTACCAACAACGTAGAACCACGTTCTGAATCAAATGCCGCCTCTTGCGCGAGAGCTCGGATTAGGCAATCCGTTTCACCAATATGTCCTAAATTAAGTAACACAGTTTCCGAATATTCTCTCACTTTCAAACTTATAAATACCTATATCATACTTTACAACGTTATCCTCACTCGGCTTATGCAAATAGATCAACAAAAAACGATGAAAAAAAAAACTACGTAACAACACTACGTGATAAAGAGTTCATTAACGGGCATATTTTCCAGATCTAGGGAGCGGTGTGTGAGATTCCGGCGGAGATTCCTTTGCTTCCATTTGGTTGATAGTAGGTTTGAGCCGCTTGGCGGCGGTGGTAATAGGTTGGGTTTTCTATTCGAATGGTGCCCACTTACCTCGGTACATCACAGCGTTCATAATTGCACGTATTCGCTCAATCCGTGTCCATGATCGTCTGCCGAGGTGGTCGAAGTGGCTGTGGTTTGATTTCACCCTAGCCAATTCGGCAGGAACGACTGTCATCAGCTGCTCTGTAGATTGGATAGAAAAATCGACATTGTAGGCTTCACAGATTTCGAGCTCCAAACTAAGCCAACTCACCTTCGGTGAAATTTCTACGTGGACCCAGGTGTACAGCGGTTTACGAATCAGATTGATCAGGTGGTAGTGCAGTGAGTTCAATCCATCAATGTCGAACCGTTTTGCGCCAGTAACTAGCTTCTCATACCTTGACAGAAAGCAGAATAAAAATAGAAGGAAAATCACGTGATAGTGGTAAGCAGTTTAACCCCTCATTTTTTGGCTCGGTGCCGTGTAGTAGCTAGTTGGTACATCTAATTATTTTATTTCGTCGGTTAAGGTTACCTTTTCGGGTTGGCCTTCTCCTTCTTGTGGCTCAGCATGGTGTAGCGTGCGATATTGATTGGATAGCGTGCAATGTGGAACCCGACGTGTTTCAGTCTGGAAGAAAGAAGAAATAAGGTTGTAAGAATCGACAATTATGGAGAAAGGTTCGTGACCAACACCGCAGGAAATACTCTCACCTATTGGACATGTCGTCGTCCTCGCCACCCCAGCCCCAGAACGAGTTGGAGAAGCCATTCACCGTGCGGAACTGTTTCGCGGTCATCGCGGATACACCGCCGAAAATTGTACTATAAGGCAGCTTGAAGCCGAATGTATCAACGGCTACGGACATGTGCCGCGGCTGATCCGGACAGGTGTACAGATTCCGGTCGTCCATCGGCAGGAGATCCACATCGTGGAACACCATGCAGTCCCAGTTTTTCTGCTTCATCGCTTCGGCAAAGCCGACATTCATCAGCGAGGCCCGGTTGAACTGCGATCCAGCGGCCTGCTCGACGATGTAGATGCCGTACTCTACTTGCTGTTTCATCAGGAATGGGTGTAGATTCTTCAGGAAAACGGGTAGGTGTTGTTCTCGATCCCTGTAGGGCACGATGATTGCCACCCGGTCGTGGGCGGTGCACGCCCGAGGAGCATACTGACCGCCGGGTTGCAACTTGGCGGCCAGCTTCTGCTCCACCGACGATAGAGATTCGAGTGAGGCGTCCACCTGGACGGGACCATCTGGAATTATACAGTACATCATTTGTTAGGATTTGAAAAAAACCGGTAGTAGGTAATAAAATGTGTATTTTCATAAAAGCAAAAGGTGAAATATAATATAAAATATGCGGCTAAATGACATATTTGTGCTAATTTAGTCTTAATTTCGTTAATTCTGGAATCTATTTTGGCAATGCCTGCCTCTTCGTGTAAATTTGTTATACTAGTGTAGAAAGGACGATCAAGAACCATCCTCAGCACTCTATTCTGAGCGACCTGGATTTTGTTCCTGTGAGTCTGTGCACATGATTCCCACACCGGAGCTGCGTAGAGGATCGCAGGTGCTATGATTTGTTTGTAGACAGCCAGTTTGTTTACCCTTGAGAGGCGGGATCTGCAGCAAATCAGCGGATAGAGACACCTAACCAAGGCAGAACACTTGACTACTGTTTTCTCTACATGCGAACGGAAGAGGAGCTTTTCATCGAACAACATCCCGAGATAGGTTACTTCGGCGAACCACTCAACCCTTGTGCCATCCATGATTACAGTACAAGATGGAGCAGGTTTTAGTTTGGGTGATTGCCGATGGAGGAACATGATTGTTTGTGTTTTGGAGGCATTGATTTTGATTTTCCACGTGGTGGCATAATCAGCAAAGGCGTTAAGGCATCGTTGAAGTTTGTTCGTTATTTCGCGAGGCATCCTTCCTTTGACGGCTATTGGGATATAATCTGCGAACAGGAAAAACACGCAACCGTCACCGAGGGGAGGAATGTCGGAAGTGTAAATGCTGTAAAGCAAGGGGCCCAGCAGACTGCCTTGTGGGACTCCTGTTGGGATGGAAAACGTGTCTGAAAGACAACCATTCAACGATACCTTAAACGATCTTTGCTGGAGGTAGTTACGGGTGATTTTAACCAGATGTAATAGGAAGTTGAAGTTACAAAGCTTGTACACATGTCCGTCATGCCAAACATTGTCAAACGCCTTTTCAACGTCTAACAAGGCCATGGCTGTGGACTTGGATACAGCTTTGTTACTTCGGATGTTATTCATCACCCGTACTAGCAGGTGATTGGTGGAGTGCCCCGTGGACGATGTTCTGTATGTATTCCGGCACGACAGGAATTTTCAACTCTGTAATAAAAAGTCTGGTGGTGGAGTGCTCATTGCCATCAATGCTGACTTTACTTCTGAAGAAATCATAACAAATAAGCACAAGGAATTCGAAAATGTCTGGGTCAAAGCACTTATTGCCGGTGAAATACACATTTTTTCTTCTGTGTATTTTCCACCTAAACATGCCCACAAGCAGTCTTTTGAACTATTTTTTCAAATTGTTGAAACTATAATGTCAAATATGGAACCAGAAGTAAAACTGCATATTTATGGCGACTTCAATCAACGAAACGCAGACTTTATTACAGACATTGAAAATGAATCATTTTTACTCCCGGTCGTAGGTGAAGACGAAGCATTACAATTATTATTCGACAAAATATCTTATTTTGGTCTTAATCAAATAAACCATGTAAAAAATCAACAAAACTCATATTTAGACCTTTTATTTACAAATTGTACTGAAGACTTCTGTGTGGATACATCATTAGCACCTTTATGGAAAAATGAAGTGTTTCACACAGCAATTGAATACTCAATCTTCGTACAAAATTCTTCCTCCTCCAGCGACTGGGAATACGAGGAAGTGCCGGAATACCATAAAGCAAATTACGAAGAAGCCAAACGTAGACTATGTACAATAAATTGGCAAAATTTAATAAGTATTGAAGGAAATGTCGATACTGAAGTAGAAAAATTTCACTTAATTCTACAAAACCTAATCTTAGAAACTGTACCATCAAAAAAAAGAAGACAAACACAAAACAATAAACTACCCGCATGGTTCAATCCACAACTGAAAAATTTGAAGAATAAAAAACAGAAAGCTCATAAACTATACAAAAAAGAAAAAACTGAAACCAATTTGCGAAACTATCACAACTTATGCAACCAATTAAATACAGCCACCAACTCTGCATATGAGGACTATAACCGCAAAGTCGAAAATGAAGTCAAATCATGTCCTAAGAACTTTTTTGATTATGTAATTTCCTTCGCGAATGAATTTGGATGCAAATGTGATCCCTTTCCAAATTTCTTCCAAGAAGTATACACCACATTTTCCGAAGAAGATCGTGACCGCGATTTCTTTGCATTCATTCCTGAAATTTCTAAAAACATCTCTGTCAACCAACTTTCTCAACATGAAGTCCTCAATGCACTAAAAAACTTAAACGCGTCGAAAGGGTCTGGACCTGACGGCATCGCACCCATATTTTTGAAAAGCCTTTCTGAAGAACTCGCATTTCCTCTAGAGCGTATTTTCAACATGTCTCTGAAAAATAGAAAATTCCCTGAAATTTGGAAATCATCTTATTTGGTACCTATTTTCAAATCAGGTGCAAAATCAGACATTCGAAATTATCGTGGAATTGCTATTATTTCTTGCATTCCAAAACTTTTTGGACAGTGGCAAGCACGTTGAAGCGCTATACACCGACTTCAGTAAATCATTTGACCGCATCGACATACCATTATTAATCCTCAAATTGCAGAAAATAGGAATTGAGCCTGGACTTTTGAATTGGCTTCAATCATACCTAACACATCGTAAACAAATAGTCCGCGTTCAAAATAAACTTTCAGAACCAATTTCAGCCACCTCTGGGGTACCCCAGGGTTCTCATTTAGGCCCACTTCTTTTTATTTTGTACATAAACGACATTTCCTACATACTTAAAAAAATAAAATTGCTTGTATATGCAGACGACATGAAGCTCTTTATGGAAATAAGTAATTCTAGCGATGCAGAAGAATGCCAGAATGAAATCAATATATTCCACACCTGGTGTAGTAAAAGTCTACTTCAACTGAACGTAAAAAAATGTACTGCAATAGCATTTAGCAGAAAAATTGAAACACCGCATATTGAAATATCATTAGGCAACCAAATAGTAGAAAAAAGCAAAATTGTAAGAGATCTAGGTGTAATCCTAGACTCCAAACTAACTTTTATAGAACATTATAATACTATCATTAGTAAAGCAAACAGAATGCTAGGCTTCATCAAAAGGTTCAGTCATAATTTCGAAGACCCATACACTATTAAGCTTTTATATACCACATATGTAAGGCCAATTCTGGAATACTGCCACCTAGTATGGAATCCATACATTTCCATACACGAAGAACGCATAGAATCTGTTAGTTTTAGTTTAAATGATCTTTATTTTAGTTTAACTTGGACGATTACCATATAAATTTTTACTAAGTGATTTAATTGCTTTCTTCATCTTTAGGTATGGGCAAAATTCAAAATTTGTTTTACAGAATTAGTCCTAGACTTAGTACACGGTCGACCACCTTGGTGGGATTGGTTTGTTTTGTTTTTAGAATTTGAAGAGAAACTACTTAATACTACTATTGACAGCTTAAAACTAACCTACTCTACTATATACACTTAACCTACTATGTACAAATTGCTTATTAAAGCATGTTCAGAAAGATTGCATTTTTGAATAAATTTGGTTGTCATATCATCAATTTTGGAATCTACTTTGGGAATTTCTGCCTCTTGATGGAGGTCTGCTATTCTTGTGTCGAATGGACGATCTAGGATCATCCTCAACACTCTATTCTGTGCAACCTGGATTTTGTTCCTGTGGGTCTGAGCGCACGATTCCCACACCGGGGCGGCATATAAGATCGCGGGGGCTATGATCTGTTTGTAAACAGCCAGTTTGTTTTGCCTTGAGAGGCGGGATCTGCGGCAAATGAGCGGATACAAACACCTAACCAAGGCGGAGCACTTAACTAGGGTTTTCTCTATGTGCGAGCGGAACAGGAGCTTCTCATCGAACAACATCCCGAGATAAGTAACATCAGTGGACCACTCGACCCTTGTACCATCCATTATTACGGTACAGGAGGGAGACGGTTTAAGTTTTAATGATTGTCTGTGAAGGAACATGATCGCTTGGGATTTTGAGGCGTTGATTTTGATTTTCCACGTGGTGGCATAATCAGTAAAGGTGTCAAGGCATCGTTGGAGCTTGTTCGTAATTTCACGAGGCATCCTACCCTTGACGGCTATCGCGGTGTCATCTGCAAACAGAAAGAACACGCAACCGTCTCCTAGAGGAGGGATGTCCGACGTGTAGATGCTGTAAAGCAGTGGTCCCAGCAGACTCCCTTGCGGAACACCTGCTGGGATCGGAAATTGTCCCGAAAGGGAACTATTCAACGACACCCTGAACGACCTTTGCTGGAGATAGTTACGGGTGATTTTCACAAGGTATGGTGGAAAGTTGGAGTTACAAAGCTTGTATATAAGTCCGTCGTGCCAGACATTGTCAAACGCCTTTTCGACGTCTAACAAGGCCATGGCTGTGGACTTGGATACAGCTTTGTTACTCCGGATGTTATTCATCACCCGTACTAGCTGATGATTGGTGGAATGCCCCTTACAGAACCCGAACTGTTCCGGAAGAAGAATGTCATGTTCCTCCACAAACTTGTTCAGTCGGCTGAGGATCAATTTTTCGAACAGCTTGCTCAGCGCTGAGAGCAGGCTAATCGGTCTGTAGCTTGACGGTAGTGAAGGGTCTTTCCCAGGTTTGCGGATCGGGATGATTTTTGCCACCTTCCAGATGCTTGGAAAGTAGTGCAGCTCCAAGCATCTGTTGAGGATGGCAGCCAGCAGCGAGTGCACCCTCGCGCTGAGATTTTTCAACTCTAGGTTGAATATTCCGTCAAACCCGGGAGCCTTCATGTTCGTACTGTGTTTCAGCGCTGAGCAAATTTGTTCCTCTGTAATCCGTTCTTCTGGAGGGACGGCACAAGGGGAGGCATCTAACGTCTGGACGCACTGCACAACCTGGTTCTCGAGTGGACTTGGGATTGTAGAGCCAAGCAAATGCGACTGGGCAATGTGCTCCCCAATTGCATTGGCCTTCTCTTCGTTGGTGATAAGCCGTTCGTCATTGACTCTAAGTGGTGGAATGGGCTTGGGGTGAGACTTCAGCACCTTGGCAACCTTCCAGAATGGTCTGGAACGGTCGTCCAGGTTCTGAACGAGCCGCCCGAAACTCTCGTTCCGGATTGAGACCATTCTGGAAGCGATCTGCCGATTCAGATCGACCATTTCGTATTTACGCTGCAGATCCCCAGTCCGCTGAAACTGGCGTCTACGAACATTTCTGAGCCGAATCAAGAGTTTGGTGTGGGAATCAATTGCTTGAAACTTACCCCTCACAGGAACTCGTCGAACGCACTCTTCGTCAGCCACGGATATGGCTTGATGAAGACCCTCCAGGGCCCGGTCGATGTCATCCACTGTGTCGAGCGGTGGGTTGTCGTCGATGTGGCGGTCGACCACGCGTCGAAACTGGACCCAGTTGACTCGATGGTAGTCCTTCCGCTGGCACGGTGCAGGGGCCACGTTGTAGCCCAGCTCGGTCAGCACCGGTTGGTGGTCCGAACTCAGGTCGTTGACGGCAACCGGCTTGGCTAATCTGGTGTTTGCCAAGAACAGGTCCAGCGTCGATGGGTTGCCCGTCGGTGATGTGAAGGTTGGTTCGTCCGGAAACCAGACGGAATAGAGACCATGCTGGGAATGGTCGAATAGCAGGCGGCCGTTCTGGTTCTGCTGGTAGTTCCGCCAGGCCTCGTGCCGGGCGTTCAGGTCCCCTCCGATTACAAAGCGGGCATTGGTGTGGGTTATGATGGCAAGGTCGTTCTTGAACTGCTGTGCTGTACCATTGCTAACGGTACATTGCCGGGGGCAGTAGGCGGCGATGAACCGGACGTTTCCGGTCGATGTTTCCACCTCTATGCCAACGGCCTCGATGATGGAAGTGCGGTAGTGGGGTAGGGTGCAGTACTTGATGCCTTTCTTGATGATGACCGCGACACCGCCCCCCCTGGAGCTGGTGCGATCAAGCCGGACAATGCTGTGGTCGGGCAGCCAGAAGCTGTCACCGGTCTTGAGGTGAGTCTCGGTGAGAAGGCCCACGTCGATGTCGTGCTTGCGGAGGAAGTCTGCAAGCTCAATGTTTTTCGCCCCTACGGAGCGAGCGTTCCAGTTGGCGATCTTTATGGGTTCACGGTCCATAATTAGCGACGAAGGAGATGATAGCTTGGAGCTGTTGTGTTCTTGTTGCGCAGGTGCGCTTGATGATGATGGCCTGGGCCAACAGTGTGACGATCTCATCCGTTGACAGCGGAGAATCGTCTGTAGCTTCACCGGTTGTACCGGCCAATCCCGGAGCAGGGGGATCCGTCGATGGCCCGGAGGCTTGACCGGGTACTGCAGCGGCAGCCAACTGGGCAGCAGCCAACTGTTGGTTGAGCGGGAGCGGCGGCAACACTGGAATTGGCCGTGATTGGACCGGTGATAACGGAGGAAAGATCTGCGCGTTGTTTTCTGGAACCTTCTTGCGACCGGGCTGGCTGTTGGACGAGGCTTTCTTCCGGATCTCGGCGTATTCGGCCCGCTTCGGACAGGCCTTACTCGTGGCCTTGTGGGCGGCACCGCAGTTGGCGCATGTGGGAGTGGCTTCCTCGATGCTGTCGCAGTTGTCGATCTTGTGGTTTTTGCCGCATTTGATGCAGCGGCTGGCCATGCGGCAATTCCTGGTGCCGTGCCCGAACAATAGGCAGTTCGAGCACTGAGTGACGCCACGGTGGGTGGGTTTATACCGCTCCCACTTCACTACGATGTGGAACAGTGTGCGTGTCGTCTGGAGATCCTTCACGGTTGTGGAGTTCTTCTCCAGATGGACCAGGTAGAGCTGGTCACGATACTTGATGGCCTTGCTGCGGGTCATCTTGTGGACTTCGACCGGCTTGAGGCCGTTCGCCTTAATCTCGTCCATTAAGGTGGTGGTGTCCATGTCGTGGAGCCCGCGCAGCACCACTTTCAGCGGCTTGGTGGCCTCGATGTCGTGGGAGAAGTACTCCAGCTTCATTCTGTCCAAGAGGGCCTGAACTGCGTTGAAGTGTTTTTCGGCCGGGACCATCAGTTTGTAGCCTTCCGTGCACCGTTGAATGGTGCAGCGAAGGCCCTGCTTAATGTAGAAATCCAGCTGCTCCCATAGCCCGGGAGGGAAGCCCTTCACATAGAAGGGTGGCAACTTAACTTTTTTCGGCACCGTCTCAGGGTCCGACTGCGGCTGCGCTCCGTTCTGCAGGGCGGAGAACGGATTGTTGCTCAGCAGCTTTTTTGCTGCTGATACGGTGGCGCTGCTGTCTTCAGGTCTGGGTCGTTTAGTTCCGGGAGGCCCCGGCTGCGGGTCCGCAACGCCTGTCGGGATGGGCAATGGGGTTTTCTTCTGCTTCTTCTGGGCTGGCTCGGTGGTCGCGCCGTCTCCTGGGAGGGTCTGTTTTCCCGGTAAACCGGCACTCGCGTTACCGCGCGATTTCTTACCCATGGCTGGGTCAGCGAGAGCGTCACTACACAACGCGGAGCTAATTCGACTTGCGAACGAACGAACGAAACTAGAGAGAATTCAAATCGACTGAACTGCTCAACAGTCTGGCAGCGAATGATCGCATAGAATCTGTCCAAAAACAATTCCTTTTATATGCTTTACGTAAATTGAATTGGACTGCATTTCCATTACCATCTTATGAAGCGCGCTGCATGCTCATCAATATACAAACACTTAAGGAGCGCCGCCAATTTGCAATGCTTTTCTTCATCAACGACATTATTTCAATGCGCATAGATTCGGCAGAAATTCTCGCACAATTAAATTTTTACACACCTTGTCGATATCTTAGAACACGGAATTTATTTTCAGAAACATCGTACAGAACAAACTATGCAAAAAATAGCCCAATCAATCGAATGATGCGCCTATATAATTTGCATTGCGGAACTATTGAAATCACTATGTCCAAGCAGCAAATACAAACTAAGCTAAAACAGAATAGAATTAATGCATAGTATGTAAGTAAACATTGTAATAATCATTGTATGTAGTCTACACTGGCTTGACGAAATGAAATAAATAAATTGGATTTTATCTAAAAACGCTTTTTGCGGTGCCAACTGCAAATCGTTAAGCATGTGTTAAACTAGTCCTTGATCGTTCGGTTTTTTTTTAATTTTTTTTGACAAAATGGCGGCCTTGCAAAGTTGGAGTGCCGATTTTTGATCCTTAAAATTTGTCTTTGATCGGCTGTAAAAAATCGAAATTAAATGATAGACGAAATCCGAACGATCGTGGACTGCACAAAATAGTGCTGAACAGAAATCAAAACGAATCGGACGAATCGAATGTATACATTTCGAGAAATTTTTGGCACCGGTTTTGAAAATATGATTCCGAGATAATCGCGTTTAAAGTTTCAAGTTGCTTCAAATTCAGTCTCGGCGCGGTACTCTTGTACGTCGCATAACTTTCACAATTTTCATCGGATCAACTTGATCGTTTGAGGAAATATTCTTGACTTTATATACTTTCGATTAGGACAATAAAAAAAATCGATTTTTTTAAAGTTTGCAGGTAGGCGTAACCCCTTAATAAAATGAAATGGATAGTTCAAGTAGGCTTCAAACATCAAGCCTACAACGAAATTTTTGTAAAATATGTTCAATAAGTTGATTTTTAAGCGGGTGGCCACATTGCCCCATTGGCCGTATTGCCCCACTTTCTCTTTCATTTATCATACTGTTATAATATTCCCAAGTCGACAGATCTTTATCTTCCTTGATAAACCTCTGCAGCAGCAGGTATCTATCACTTCATTATTTAGTTTAGTTATTAGATCAACTTTGAAGAATTTGTGTTAACAGGTAAGATAGGTAGCTTATTACTTGATTTAGTTATGTTTTTATTTGTCAACATCAACAGATTCAATGTAGCTCCAATGCTGGATTCAATTAGCAAACCATCATTGGTGTTGCATTGAACCTGTTGATATTGACAAACAAACACATTAATAAATGTACTCTAACTAACCCATCTTGCCTAACTTTACTCTAAAAATTACTGCAAGGATGCGAACAATGCAAACAAATAAGTAGATACTCACCCAAGTTAGGCGGAATCGGTGGACAACTATTGCGGTCCAGCTTCCCCACGAGGCTATCGATCAACCTTCTACTGCTTCTACCGCCATCAGTCTGTATTGTTTCGTTTTGCTGTTGCTGTTGCTGTTGCTGCTGCTGCTGGCGCTGTGCTTCAGGAACCATTTTCTTATCGCTACTACTGGATACATTTTTGCTACTTACAACTTCTACGAGATTCTCACTGTGATCGCTTAAAATACTGGAATTTTTGCTACTTAAGCTAGAGTTAGTGTCGTTACTGCTGCTGCTACTACTACTGTTATCACCAACGGTACCGCTTGCCGTCGGTTGAGATTCGTTGAACTTTTGAGATTTTGACAAGTCAGTTTTCGGGAGAGTATTATCGATTAGGATTGTCCCGTTGAGGGCATTTGGTCGCTGTAGGCTGTCGATTGTGGCTGTTGGTTGCGGCGAACCGGACTGATTGTTGCCATGGCTAGGCTCATGGCTCGCATTTAGCTGCTGTCGCTGGGTACCATTGCTGGTGCTATCGTTGTTGCGGTTCCGGTTCGTAGCGTGAACTTGAACGAACCGTTCGGAATTGGTCCTTGTGCGTTTCGGCCATTGGGTTGTCCTGTGGAAAACAAGAAAGGACGAGTTAGGTAATTGCGACCGTGTGGTTTTCTAATTCATGGTCCTTACCCCATTCGAGGTAGCCCTATTGGAGCGGAGTCCCAGCGCGAGCCGAGCAGATTGAGCAGTATCAGCAGGAATCCAGCCACCAACACCGCATTGATAGCGTGCGCACGGCTACACGACGCCATGGGGCCATTTAGGGGATGAGGCCTAACCTTGAGGAGGGCGTGCGTGTTGAGTTACGAAAATTGCTCCAACGACGTTGCCGCTTTGTACGGGGGCAACGGTGCTTAAATTTCCTTCCTGCTATTGCTTGTGCGGTTGGACATCTGAAAGGGAAATTCAAAGCAGAACAATATTACCGGGTATGCTGAACGTGTAATCGTGGTAATAAGGTACGCTGTATGGAACACAACGACGACGCGGGCAGACTGGAGCGAAAGAGGATATGAGAAATTCATTAGTGTCTGGTTGTGATAATGACTCGACAAAGGGGCAAGCATCTGTGGGTGGGAAGAAACAGCTGTGGATGTCGAATCTCAGTAGGGTTGAAGGACATGACATTATGTAGTAGCACTAATAAGTGAGAAAGGGACATCGTTTTACACCCACCGACCGGTGCCAGATGTTATTAGTGGTCAGCGTGAACGAGGGAGGCCTCATGAATATTTTCGGTATAGTCCCTATCGCTTAGATAGTATAATTTCCATTTTTGTATGATGATTGAAACTACGCACGCAAGAAAAATGTGACGGACTAATAATACAATTGTCCGGTTGATTGCTTCACTGTAACCGAAAAAAAATATTGGTGCTACATTAACATAGCTATGCTTAGAAACCAGATGTTAGTGACCGATGATTACTGCAGGTAATGTAGGTGCTCTGCGGAGAAACCTTTTCGGAATTAACTGCCCACGTCAAAGGTGTAGTACACCCACACGATTTGTTCGATGCCCAACGAAAATAACATCTAGGGGAAAATAGGGTAAGATTGCCATATGGGGCAAGACGAGCATCGGCTCTCAATCACAAAGACAGTTAATTTGAAATTTTGTGAAAACCACTTCGCTTGTATGTGCTGCGTACGCCAAAACATCTGAAAAAAGACAAATTAGTTAACATAGTGTTTGATTTACGGTAGTGCCGGCAAAACTAGCAAAATTTGTAATAGTTTGCTGTTAAACATGAAAATCGTAAACTTAAAAAAATACTATTATTTTGCTAAACAGAAGAATTGGGTGCTATAATGGTGCACAGTTTGAAAAAACTGACCCAGAACAGTACTTATTTCGTGCCGCTGGCTCTAGGAGGTTTGAGATACCTATTCTTATGTAAAAAATCAGATGGAATTAGTTTGGCTGCGTCATTTCGCCGAAGGAGGTTTCGCCGAATGGGTCATTTTGTCGAATTTCAATCATGAATCAATCTACAATTAAAATGAATTTGGAACGCATTAAAATAATAGATATTCCCATGTAAAGCAACTCGAACGAACTGCTCATTTAAACATAGAAGGAAGCATTCCTATAAATCAAAATATCTATTATTTGAAAATCAGTACAACTCGAAAGAACTGCTCGTGTTCAAAAGAAGGAAGCATTACATTTGAATAGCTTGCCAGGTTGAAAAAATCGAACCTTCTTAATCTTTTTTCGAGACTGATTTCAAAATTTACTGAGAATTGAAAAAAGTTCAAAACCTTAGGAAATGGCTTGCTCTTTGGCGAAATGACCTTCGGCGAAATATCCCGCTCTCGAAAGTAGTAGTTATGTGGCTGCCTGTTCAGCTATACAACGCAAAGGATGATATGGTAGGACTTGAATTAAAATCTATTTCATACTGTGCAGACTTAAAAGACATTAGACATTCTAGTCGAAATTCTAGTACTACACTATGTTTGTTTTGATTCGCTATGAAAGTTTGACAAATAAAATGAAGGGTTCGTGGATTTTCCTATGTTTCGAGGAGTAATTCGATTAGCTTGCGACCGAAGAGAGTACCAGAACTGAGCCAAAAAGTTGAGCACGTTTCTTCGGGACCTTCTGGTCTTAGAGTTACTTCTATCGTATTACTGCTGCCAGACTCGTCACCGGAAAAAGGTTCAATATTGCCCACATCTGCGTAATACCGTTCCATCTTCCGAGAAAATTCTGGATCCTCTGATCTGTCATACTGTGGTCCAGCCTCAAGATGTGCTAGCTGAGGATCGGACCAAGTTAGCGACATTCGCATCAGATCGATCAGATTAGCTTCCGGAGATGTCTAGCGCGCAAGATGTGAACGAGCATGTTTATACTATAGTCGCTATATTTATAGTCTGGCGGATAGAATTTCGATGAATCAAAAACCGGAACCAATTCCATATACTGTAGACCAACAATTGAAAAATTACTATCAACTTTTGAGCTTGAGCTTGAGCTTGAGCTTGATTGACCGCCCACGGTTGCTACTCTGTTATTGCCAGATCAGCTGTTATTACACAGAGAACCAATAGACGATGCTTGGGACTAGCAATCATCCTCAATGTGTAAAAACTGGTGATCTTAAATTAGGCAATACCAGCGCCGGCCGCGCCCGAACACAGGTCAAGAAAGGAATGGGAAGGATTGTGTTGACATGACACTCGCTTTGATGGAAGCCGAGAACACCTCTGCACTTCCACGAGGAATCACTGGGATGTTGGATAAGAGGGTTGGGTTTGCAGCAGGGTTCGTTTTGGTAAACGATAAGCTGAATTGATGTCCTAACGATCATATAACGCGAAGGAGCTTGGGACTAAACCCACGGTCTTCTGCTCAGTAAGCAAAAACGTTTGCCACTAGGCAGACGAGCACCTTTTTAATCACCGAGTTGCTGTTATTACCATGTAGTCATATTAACAAATAAAACGATTGACGAATCTTGATTGTGGATGGGCCTGAGAATAGACTCATGATGTTCTGCTCAGTAAGCAAAAACGGTTGCTCTAAGGCCACCGAGCCCCTCATATCACATAATACCGTTGCTTAAATTTGTGTATCCATTCAAACCCGGAACCAACGACAACAACGAGTTTCGCAAAATACACGATACACAAGCGATTTTACCATAAATCTCTTTGATATGTAAGGACCTGGGACCGCGTTTTTCTGCTCAGTAAGCAGGCCACTGTAACCGACAATCTTTCAAATCCGAAAACTAAAAACTACGAAAAAGTACTTAGGCCTTCATTAAGTTCCACTTTCACGCGACGTACAATGTTTCAATTTGCTCTTTACGTATTGTTCAGGCTAGGCCCTTTTCAAAATTTACGCGAGAAATACGCACAATCGTCACCTACCTCGCAAAACTGGTTCCAAACGACAACAAAGGCATAAGCAACGATGGATTGTTGAACTTTGCTGGCTCCGGTGGTGTAGTGCACAGCAAAAAAAAAATGTAATATCGATCAACGCAATTCAAGCTGATGTATGAAATAATGATGTAATTGTAATTTTGTAATTTATCAGCACACACCCTGGTCGACCACTGTAAACCAATCTGCCGTTCAGCGTTTTCGGTTTTTGTTTCTGGATCTTTAGTTGCCTCTGTGATATACTTACTTGCGGCATACTATTTTGGGAGTGTATATGAGCGTGTACCATGTACGGTAGCTCATCTCTCATCGTGATGGTGGGACATAGTAGACAAATTAGAGAGAAAACAAGGAGGTATTAGTATTAGTTATATGTAAACAAACAAAACAAAAGTTAGATAATGCGGCACTGTAACTACTACTATTTTAGAGGTATGATTCGTCATGTTTAACTCAATGTTTCAATTGAGGCAAACTATCTATCTTACAATTACAAAAGCAAACCTAAACTTACAATTATATGCAAATGCAAAATGAAACTTGACAAATCATCGTCAATTCCCTTATTCCAGGGCAGGGCCTGACGATTTGAATCTAATTTTGATCAGTGAACGGGCACCATATGGTACATTTTCTCACCATGAACCTATCATTTCCAGCCTATCTGAACTATTTAATAAATGGAAGCCATAACATGGGTTACGCTCCCCCTAAGCAGGCCCTCCGCATCCTGTCTCTGTCTTATCTCAAATACAAAATGCCAATGGCATGAATGTATCTGTACATCAAATCCATGTATCTGTATCAAATACAAAATGCCAATGGTATGAATGTATCTATGTAACTTGGAAATGACGTACAATCAAATAAACCCGTAACCCACTCACTTGGTCAGGCTTCAGAATCGTCCAGTGGGCAGTGCACTCTACACTCCAAGTTCCCTTTTTTCAAATTTACCGCAAATTTGATATTTTACCCATTGAGTGTTGATTAGTCACAATGAAACATTGTGACAGAAGTTGAGGTTACTAGTGTATTAAATAATCTAGGTCCTATTTAGGATTATATCTGAAAAATCCAAATCTGGCCAACGCCCACCCTAAACCTAAACCTGTTCTAATCCATCTGAAATGACTAACGAATGGAAGACTTTGACTACCCAGCCATGCAATAGTCTCATTCCGTGCCTTATGGCAACTTGATGATTCTATTGCGCTCATCTTCTGGCACCACCCAGGGGAGACTTGGTCCTGTACCCAATGCTTAACTTATCTCCATTCCACTCAGCTACTCGCAATTTCTTGTGATATAGTGGGCGGAATATTATTATATGAGACAATTCAATGCAGACGTCTTTCCAAATTTGGCAGATCGACAGGTAATCGGTGAGTTACCACGATAGTTGCTATTCAACAACTCGACAACGTCCCATCGTCAACGCCTGCTATGAGAATTTCCCATAGCAGACGCCAACGAAATGACGTCATCGAGCTATCGATCAACTACCCTGGTTATCGCCTGGTACCTTATAGCACGATGCTAGGAGGCGAACCGGAAGAATCGATGAGCTACCTCCCCCCTGTAGACCAACAATTGAAAAATTACTATCAACTTTTGTAAACAAAACGTTGATTATTCTTTCCTCGCCAATCGAATGCAAATTACCAGCATCATCGGATAGGGGAAACTTTCCCCAACCCAAAGATGGTGTTAGTTTGCATAGGCGAGCCTTGAGTCACGAGAAAAGGGTTTCCGAAGTTTTGTTTGCAATAGCTGATGTGATCTTTTCTGTTGTTGGTCGTGATTTGCTCGATTGGTTCCGCTATATAGCGACTATAGTTTATACCGTTTATGGCACCTATCCCATGACTGTTCGTCAATGAAGTTCATTTGGTAACTGTTAATAATTACCCATAAATAACGAGTCTTGGGTAAAATGAGCTACTTCCGAGGTCTACACTATTCGATACTTCGGACTTTTTCACGTAAGAAA